CGCCCGCAGTCCGGAGGGTGACCGCGGGGCCGGACTCTGCTCTGCTCCCCCCCTCCCCATCCCGCACCCTCCCTCCCTCCGGGCCAGGCAGGCATGGGTAGGGGGGTTCCTAGTCACGGGGCGAATTGAACGTCCGGGATGGGGCTGTGCGTAGGACATGGAGCGGGGGTGGGGTGGGGTGCGGCGGCGGGGGGAGAGACTGCGATCGCCCTGTGGGTACCCCCCTGGAACGCATGGGCTGCTGCTGTCCATCTCGCCCACCCTTTTCTAGTAGGGAGCGAGAGGATGCACAGGAAACTGGAAAGTACCAGACGCCTGGAGTCTAAAATGAATGCGATCTGAGCTTTGCTTGCTTCTCGGAATTTCTAATAAAATTAATATCCAAGGAGCTTTTACATCACTCCAAATGAGCTGCGGCCGTTTTAGGGCATGTGATCTCTTACCTGGCACTGCAGAAAATCTTTTATCCAGAAATCAGAGCATCTCTCGTTCCCTTGGTACCCGGGGCACGTTGGTAGTGTTACCGACCTGTTAGGCACAGGTGTCTTTTTTCCTTGGTGCCCAAGTACATGCAAGATCACCTGCAACAAAATTACTTTCTAGAAATAAGGGCTGAAAAGGGTTTTCGTTTTTAAAAACACCTTTATAAAAGTGGCCTGTAAATCTCCAGGAGTTTAAATCCTCCCCCCCCCCCCCATTCGTCAGTTTAACCTTTACGAAGGAGCAAAGAGTCCTTTGGATCTGACTTTTCAAACCGCAGACAAACCTCACTCTAAAAAGAGGTGTACCTTTTCATTCGACCTGATTCATGGAACCTTACTGGGTTTTCAATGAGATTTGCTGAGCTCCACTCCATCCCAGTTGTACCTCGCCAGCCTCTTGTGGCTGTCTGGCAGAATTCCAGCTAAAATAAGGCTATTTGGTTTGGGCTGAACATTTTTTCTTCTTTCTTTTTCTTTTCTTTTTTTTTTTTTTTGGTATTTTGGGTCCTTTTATGAGATCGAATAGGACTATAGAGCCACAGTTTCTGTATGTGCACTACAGGATTTTAAGCTTGAGCGGAACAGGTCGTGGGGATCTGAAGAGTGGATGACAGGAGTCTTGGCTTGCCCCTTCTGGGCCGATAGAAATGATAGAAAAAGCAAGGGATCAGATGCTCGCAGATGGTGGTGCCTTTGAGGCTGTGTGATGTGCTCTCACGCTCCCCGGCAGGTTGGGAAAGCCTCCTGAGTGCTCTGGGAAACATATCTGTAGATTGCTTCAGCAGCTTGAGTATAGTGCCAGCCTATGGGGTTTCTGACCAGGCTCAGAAGCATTGGTGGCAGAATATACTTTCTGCATGCAGACGACATACTGTGTGTGCTATAGAATGTGTAGGTAAGTTACTTACGGTGAACTGGCCCTTCCCACGGTCCCCTGTATGTTGATTCAACACAGTCCCTTTTTTCTTTTGGAGTAGAGAGAACTGAAGGACAGAACCAGAGGCCCTTAGGATGAAGGTTAAAAAAAAAAAAAAAAAGGAAAAACAGGCCCTCGAGGGAGAAGAGGCATCAAAAATGGTTTAAATTGAAGAAATGAAGTAGATGTCCAGTTCAGTTCTTTGGTATTGATACTTCATCTGTAGTTCTGGAACTAGACAGGCTTGAGGTGGAGGAGAAATCCTGGAGTGCTGAGGTGGAGGAAAGAGCGATAGGAACATCTTTCAATCACTGGGATTAGAGCTGCAGAGACCTCTTCATTCTTCAATCCATTTGATTAAAAATACAAATAGATTTTATTTCCACTGGGTAGATCCAGACTCTAGCCCCATCTAAAGCTTGTTACCTTGCTGCTTAGATTTCTGTAGATTAGAAACAGATGTTGGCATCCTGTCCTCTGCCTTCTTTGCCTGTTCCTGCTAACTTCCTTTCACCTTGGATCATGCTGTCTGATGTAAGAGACTGCAGGTGAGGTCTTTGTGAGGGGACAGGCTGGGTTTCCTGGCTAGAGCTGGGTGAGGGTGGAGGCTTGTGGAAGTTACTGGGAGCACTCAGCTTTTTCTAAGCACCGAGTGTTAGCCTGAGCTTCAAGGCAAAGAAAGATGTTTGACCTGGACTTAAAGAGCCTTAGATAATATGGTTGGGAGCTGGGACTCAGAATTCTCTTTGTGTGTCTGTTTAGTAATTCATTCAATGTGCAAATTCCTGGATGCCTGTCTCTGCCTGGCACTTCTCAGAGCGCTTTTTGTCTGGGCTTCTGGGAGCTAAGTCTACATTGTCCTCTGGTACCACCCTACTCCCCTTAGCCTATCTTGGAGGGGTGGCAGGCATCTCTGCCTAGATTCTTATTTCTTCATTTTCATCTCTTTTCTGCCTTTTCCACTCTGCCTCCAACTTTTCCTCATCCTTTGGGGAGTCTCATTGATTGCCACTGTACTTAATGTTTCTTGTTGGTTTTTTTTTTGCATACTTGAATATATATATCATTGAGTCTCTGTTTCATTGGAGGTCTAGGCGATATTAAGACCATGGGACATTTACTTCTGGTCAAATCTGAAAGATGTACAACCAAAATATTAGGTATCAATTGATGTGTCAGGGAGTTCGAGGTAGCAAATGGATCCGTGCAGAAGGAATGGAGACTGAACAGCCTTGACCTCTGGGATACTGTTCATAGTTTAGCCTTTACAGTTGTTTGCATGAAGGAGTTTCCTAATTATTAGGCTGATGGACGACTGTGAGGTTCAGATTGTGTGAATCCCTTTGATGTCCCGTATGGACCATTTTTCTTAGCTCTTGTTTTCTTCCTAGCTCCTGCTCCCAAGCTGTCTTACTATTCTCCCTAGCCATGCAGCCTTGCTTTTTCGTCATTCAGCCGAGTAATGATGCCTCAGGTGCAGCCTTATCTGCCTTCAGTGGGCAATTCTGCATCACTGGAGATGTTTGTCATCAGAGCTGCTCCAAAACAGCCAGACAACTTGTTAGCCATGCTCTAAGGGCTTTAGCTTGCCAAAGATGGGTTGCATCAGAGCAGAGGTCTCAGGTGTTGGGATTTCTTTGACTTGTTTAAAGGAAAAAGTGAAGTTCAGCATAGAGTTGCCACGTTTTTTTATGTTGCCAAGTAGAAGTGTCTGTAGAAGAGTAATTAGCAACTGTCATCACTTATCCAAGGAGGGTATTGTAATACCATTCTCAAATAGAAGAAAACGTCTCAAAGGGATAGGACTTTAGTTGTATAACTTGCACTTGGAGAAAACTTGTTTCCTTGCCTTCATTTTTGTCCCAGAAACAAAGTAACTTGTTGCAGCCTGAGGTTTGTAGTGCATTGGGTATGCTGCAGGACTGCAGCTCTTTCTAAGATCCCGGCTGCCAGTTGCCAACCTTGCAGTATAATGGCTCACCCTTCGTACGCAGGTCTTTCATAAAGGGCATTGGAGTACATTCTTGTTCTCAATTAGTTTTAGATATTGAAGTAGAGCATGTCTCATTTCTTTAAACATTTTCTGTTACATTTTTATTTTATGTGCTCTGTGTGTGTGCATATATGTGCGTACATCCCCATGGGATAGTGTACCTATGGAGATCATAGGACAACTGTCAGGAGTCAGTTCTCTCCTTTCATAGTGTCGGCCCAGGGACTGAATCCAGGCAAGGACTTTTACCTGCTGATCTATTTCAGTGGCTGAGTTCAGGTTTTTTATTTATTTATTTCTTTTAATTCACATTTATTGAACATCTCCTGTGGTTAAGTTTTGGAGATTTCTCAGAAAACAGGACACAATCTTTTCTCTCACGGTCGAAGCTGATAGTAAACAAACATAATTGTTGGACATGCTAGAAAATATTAGGGGGCGGGGATAGAAGATACAGAGAGAGAGAGATGTCATTCGGGTAGCCTCAGGGATGTCTTTGGTGAGGTGGCTTGAACACAGGGTCACTGGAGGGCGTGTTGAAGGTGGAGGGAAGAACAAGCAGGAAGGCGTCTTTGCATGTTTTTCCCACCGAGGTAACGCCATCACAGCCGGTGCGCTTGGCATCTCACCCCGCACCTTCCTACATGTCGGATTGTTGACATCTGCTCACATAGTCTGACTAGTTCCCTCCACAGATTCTGTCTTGAGAAGCAGCCTTTGCTTTTTATCACACCACTTGTTTTGGGCCTCCCCCTTTAGTTTTTCAGTTGCTGAATGTGATTTACATAATTTCATACTTACTTAATCTTCTCAACAATCTTATCGTGTATGTCTCCTATTATTATCTTTTTGGCCGAGGAAATGCAAGTTAAATTGCTTTCCCTAGCTTATACGTATTTGAAAAATCGGTGTTTTAATCTTTGTGTTGATCACCTTTTTTTTTTTTTGAGACAGGATGCTGCTGTGGCCTGGAGCGCTAATCCTCCTGCCTCGGCTTCCTTAGCGCTGATTACAGAACTGTACCTCCAAGCCTTGCTTTGTGGTTTCTGCAGCAGCTACAGGCAGCGCTTGTCCCCCTCACAAGTGGGTGGGTCTTGGCCGGTTCTTCTTAGTCTACAATTCAGCTCCTCTGTGTTCCCATCTGTATCCTTCTGTTGATTGTTTTTGGAGACAGAGCGTCTTACTCTGTAGCCCAGATGGGCATCAGTCTCACAGTGTAGCCCAGGTTGGCCATGAACATATAGGAATCCTTTTACCTCAGCTCCTGAGTACCGAGACATTTTTATTTATTATTATTATTATTATTATTATTATTATTATTATTATTATTTCCGGGCTGCAGTTTCGTCTCCCTCCCTCTTCTCCTCCCAGCCCCCTTCCCACATCCACTTCTCCATTTCTATTCAGAAAGGAGTAGGGCTCCCATGCATGTCAATCAAACATTGCAATAAGACTAGGCACATCCTCGCATATTAAGGCTGGGCAAGGCAATTCATTATGAGGAATAGGGTCTCAAAGTCAGCAAAAGAGTCACAGACAGCCCCAGCTCCCACTGTTAGGAGTCCTACAAGTAGTCCAAGCTACACATCTATCATATATATGCAGAGGGCCTAGGCCAGTCCCATGCAGGCTGCCTGATTGTCAGTTCAGTCTCTGTGAACTCTATGAACCCAGGTTAGTTCTGTGTTTGTTTTTGTTTTTGTTTTTTGTGGGAGATATCTGGATCTTAAGTCAACACATTTCTGTGCTTAAAGGGTCTGGAATCTTGGGCTTCTATTGGAGTGCCTACTCTTAGCTCCGGTGTTTCAAAGGGTGAGTTCATAAACCCGTTATCAAACTGGCTTTCCTTTGTAACTTTGCCATGTAGGGAAGGAATAACCATCCTCCGGTCCCTAGCACCAAACGCTCGCCTGGTCTCTGGCTTCCTTCTTTCCTCATGGTCCACACCTTGTCTGTCTGCAGGAGCTGGAGAGGCTTAGGTCCCAGTGTCCATCGAGTTCATTATTTCACACCTTAGTCATGGTCACCTTAACGTCACCTCCAGTCAGGTCATCGCCCCTTAAGTTCTTCCGTTTCACTCTTCGCCTTTGAGTCCGTGTGTTACTTTAAACTTTCAGCATCCCTGAGTCATGTTAACGTGGCTAGTCAAAGCCGCATACTCAGCCAGGAGGCCTCAGCCTGCCGTCATGTTGACTTTGAGTCCAGGGTCACTATGTGCCTTCGTCTTTGCAGCATCTTAAGCCAGGGGTCTCGAGCCCTGCCTGTTGCTCCACACTCCTGTCTCTACTTAAAGTGATATTGGAGTTCTTGTGGGGCTGAGTTGGGTGCCCCCCCCCCTACTTCCTCTTCCTCCTCCGCAGTTTTATTTATTGAATTTTTGACTTCAGCCCCTTCAGGATCATTGTTAGCTTCCTACGGAATTTACAGTCCTGCGTATGTGTCCTGACTTGTGCCATTTCCTGGCATTTAGCCTTGACTTCCCCATTAGATGGGAAACTGGAGCAGGGTTTGGGGTCAGCCCCTCTTACCTGCTTTATTCCAGGTATACAGTAGGCATTTAGGAAGCGGTGATGTGTTTGATTTATTAACAGCTATGATTATTTGTATGTTTCTAATGACTTCACGTTGAGTGTTGGCAATTAAAATTGGAGGCCAAGAACGTGAATAAAATCAAATGGCCATATTCAGTTTAGTTCCTCACTTCAACATTTTTCTTCTTTATGCTTGCACTCATAGGGGATTTAATGCTTAAGCAGATCCATGAGACAAATAGACCAGGGATAATTTTCTTTCATACTAATCCAGGGTCACTTGTTTAGTGCTGGGCATAGGGCATAGACCGGACTACCACCTGGGCTTCCACCTGGTTCCTGTCTGAGTGGTCCTTCACCACTCCCATGAAGATGATAGAAAATTGAGCCCATCATCTGAACTGTCAGGTTAGATTGCTGCTTTGAAGTGAGGACCACGCTAGAGAAAGTAGCAAAAGAAAAAATTAAAAAAAAAAAATAGGAGTGATAAAAGACATGGAAATGCTCGAAATGGCTCATCGCCCTCCGTTTCTCTATTTTGTCATCTGGTGAAAATCCTTCTCTAATCGTGCTTTGTTAATTGTTTATGAGATATTCTTTAAAAGATTGATCTTGCATAAGACGCGCTCTTACCCCATCCCTTTCCTGGTAATAGTCACTGTCAGGGACACAGAGTGCCTGATGGTGCCGTGTTTGTCATGTAGGTGGGAGGGGAAGAGGAGAGAGCTGGGTTGAACTGAAGGGAAGCTTTTTACAGCACCATTGTTCTACTATCAGAGAGCAATTATGCTCCAACTTCCATCAACCTCTCCACCTCAGACATCCCATCCACCCCCCCCTGCCAGCACCTCCCCCACACTCAACAGAAGCCGCACCACCAGGTCCCAGGCAGAGAGGAAAAGAGATGTCTCCTCTGCCCCGCAGTAGGCTCAGGCCTCTGCTTTTTAAATGCTGGTCCTTAGTAAAATGGAGCATGCCTGGCTTTTCTAGATGTTTCCTTTCCAGCTCTGGGAAACCAGAGCTATGCCTTTAACAGTAACAGCCACAACAGCAGCAACCACACACATAAGTATGCAAAGGTATGAGTATGAGATTGTGAAGCGTTATTCGGCATGCACAGGATAGGAATTTAATCTCACAAGGTGCGTTATCCTCAATTCTAAGGACCTACACACGGAAGCTACAATCTCATCTTT